GTCACCCTTAACTCTGGCATGTTTCTGGTGCTGGAGCTCAGCAGGGAGATGTTTCTTCCCTGCTGGCTGATCTCAAACTCCTCCCCCTACCCCAGGGAGCTAAGCATTAAATGGCTGTCCTCAACAGGCACCTGCTATCTCCCTGGTCTAGCCCTTAAAGTGATGGAGCACTAAGGCTGCTCCATCTCAATTGTCAGGTTGGTTGGTTCCATGTGTAACCCTGTCCTGTTATGTTTTATACTGTTATGGTGGCATGTATTTCTTCTCTGCATACCCATTGTTTGGAGGTTTGGGTTTACTAGTGCCTGTTTTACTGCTTGAGGCTAGGGAGAGACATTCAAAAAGTCTAAGCCAAAATTGATTCAATCTTTGCAGGATAATCTAACCTGGCTGAACCGGTTGCAGACTGGACAGACATTCTCTCTGGACTGAGAAAATTTAAGCATATGCTTATAGTGGCTCAAGCTAGAAGCCAGGGTGTGCTAGAGCAGCCCTCCCTCCCCTTCTTTGGTAGCTGAGCTCGGGAGGGGGGTGGCCAGGCGATGGCAGGACCTCTGATTAGGGAGGTCTGCCTACATGGTCCCAGGATTTTCCCCACTGGCTGCTCAAGGGGCAAGAATGTTGTTAGCCTCTAGACCCCAGCCCCGGGCTAGCACTCTGAGGCAAGTCGGGGGTGCAGTGAATGCATCTGTTGGTGAAACGGAGCTTTTCAGTCTTCCTCCCTGCTTCTTCAGACTGACAGCCAAGCAAGCCAGCTGGGAACTGATAACGGTCTTTATCACCCAATTAGCAAAACAATGGCCTCTTTCCCATTACTTCAAACTTCTTAAACAGCTTACCTGGCTGACCTGTTGATTAGCTCCAAAAGCCCTGTTCTGTCTGCCAGCTTGTGCCAGTAAAAGTGGAGACTCACATACAGATACCTCTCTGCATTAGCTAGCACACCACATGCCTAGGTCCCTAGGGTTGGGCTTCCTGCTGTGGGAGGTGGGGGGAGGTGGGGATTTCCTCCTTGAGCAGCGAGGGAAGGTAGGACAGAGGGAAGCCAGGCAGACCCTGATGTGTCTGTACTCTCTGCTGGAGTCTTATACAGCATAAGCTAGCATACTACATGCTGGCTATGGTCTGTGCTATGGAAAAGAGGAGGAAGAGATCCCTGCTTAAGCAGCAAGTGGGGAGAGAGGAGGGAGAAGGGGGTATAGGGAAGTCAGCAGACCCTGCTGTGCCTGCAAATCTCAGCCAGGGAGCAGGGGGAGAGGCCAGTCCCACCCAATCTAGAGAGCATGCTGGGATGCTGTGGCACTCTGATTTGTCTTAAATCAGCAAGAGGCCTGGGACAGACATTGCATAAATTGGTTTGAGACAAATCAGTTAAGTCTGATACTACATTCAACCAAGTTTATCTCAAACCATTTTCAACCATTTTCAAACTGGTTCATGTGCACTGAACGTCTGTTCTGTTAAAGGTTTAAACCAGTTTCTGATCACTTAAACCAGTTTATGTGTAATGTCTGTCCATAGCCTGAGGGTAAAGTGTGCAAATATAAAGAGCCAAGTGGATCAGTTCTTTGTGTCTACAGTCACTCTCTTCCAAAATCATGGAGTGTTTAGGCACATAAAAGTTACAAAAGGAAAGTTCAGTAATTGTCATTGGGGGGTCAGCACTTATTATGATCTGTACAGAGGTCCACAGTGGGGTAGTGAGATGGGAGCTGCCTCTAGGTAGCTGTGGCACTCCTAGCAGCCACATCTGTTCTGTTTCCTCCTGCTATGGTCTCCTAGAGCACCTCCCTGATAGCTGGCTTGTTACGCCTCCATGATAACAATGAATATACAAACGGGAGACTACCCTCAGAATGCCAGAGTGAGCTTTGGGTATTTCATTCTGCCCTGTTTATCATCAGGATCTCAGCTCCATGGTCTGAAAATTCATTCACCTCTTATTCTCACTCAGCTGAATTGCTCGCTTATCTCTGGGCTCTGCCCCCTCAACTCACTTCTCTGGGCTCTGGTTGATCTTGTCTCAATCCATCAAGCTCCTAGCTTGTAGCTCAAATATTGAGTGCCTACTCTGGCACCTCTCACTGTGACCTACTTTCTTCCTCTTAGCTACTCCTAAGCCTTAGAATGATGGTGGGTGTCTACTGCCCACCCCCCTGGCCCTAACTTGATCCGCTACCAGGTTCAAAGTTCGCAATTTAAAATGCTTTGTGCCTTACAGAACCTACTGTAGTCTCCTGTCTTCCCTACCACCACACCCATGCCTCACAGTGATTAGGCACCTCGGCTCTTTCTTAGCTTCTTTCTCTCCTGTCTGCAAGCATTGTTTCAGAGACATTAGCTCTGCCTGAACTTGCTCATGATTACAGCGTTCAACCTCATACTCTCACTAGGTGGGTCGCTTGCTCCCTTACCTTATCAGAGAAGAGTTGTACCTCTAATTGCCTGTGTATCAACTCTTGGATGGTGTTGGCATGTACCGTAGTGCCCTCTGGTTGCACCACCCTTATGCTTTTATGGGAATTGGTGTTCTAGCAGCCTCTGTTACCCCAATTTGCTAAGCTTCTGTCACTTGTAGCTGCAGTTTTCCTGTATCATTGTACAGTATTGTACATCATTATATCATTGTACATCATTGATTCTGCCCTTGTGCTATCTGTCCCAGCAGGGCCTGAGCCAACTGAGTGTCCACATGGGCCTCTTTCCTTTGGTTCCCCTTAGCTGAGATTCCTCTTTCTTTCCTAATCTTAGTACTGAGGCTGGAGCTTTAACAGTCACTTTACTTCTCCCTTTCCAGCCCAAAGGTCCTCTTCTCTCACCCAGAAGAGCAAATTTTTCCCAGCACATAGCTGCTTCCTAGCCAATGCACCAGTTGCGACAGGACCCCTTTTCTGAGGACAGCTGTGGCATCCCCTGGCAGCAGCAATAATCCTGTCCCCTGCTCTGGCTTCGTAGGTTACCCATTCTGTCTTCCCCTACCATTACTTGCTGGAAAAATGTACATTAATTTGGGACCCTGTCCTGAGAAACCCAAAATGAGCCTTCAGATGTTTCACTCTGCTCTGCTCATCATCATCAGGTTGCCTTGTTCTGGCCTTATTTCTGGAATCAATGCACTGAGGAGGGCATCCCTTACTGCACTTGGACTCAGCCAGCTCACTTCTAGTCTCTCTCTCTCTCTTTCTGCGTTATGCCTCCTGGCCCACCATGGATGTCATTGTGGGCCATCAAATATTCAAAGAAAAAGTGTTTGTAAGCACAAGTCCTTGTAGTGGGTTCAGATGGAAATCTGTTACCCACTACTTCTGAAATAAATGAAATCCCCAAGCCAGAGGTGTTGCCAGACAGCTCTGAACCCAGGGCAGTCAGGATGTAAGGTGGGCAGCTGTGTCGATTGCAGCAGTACAATCAGCTGCTACTGGGGTGGCAGCTGTTTTTACACCCTCCTCCCTCCCCAAAAGGGACCAGCTGAGGCTACTGTCCCAGTTGCCCCGCTTCAGTTATGCTACAGCCCTGAACCTGTTGGGCAGGTCAGGAATCATTTTTAAGAGCTGAGGCTGTATAAGAAACTTGCAGAGAAACAGTGGATTCCAAGGATGGCAGTGGGGAGTGGTAGACCCCTGGCAGAAGCAGATTGGCAGTGAACGCTGCATGCCTCCTTACCTAGAACTTGCCACTTTGGCTAGAGTTGGTGGTAGAGCCCCCAGAGCAAAGCAACAAATCCTGATAGCAAGGAGTAGCAGGGTCCTGCAGGGTGGCCTCCCAGGAACTGCCACTTCTGGCTGGCATAGGTGGTAGGCCCACCAAATAGCAGCGCATGGTGAGTCTTCCTTCCCAGCAGACTGGGCTAGCTAGTAAATGCTGAGTTGATTTGACAGTGACTGTACAAACTATAAACATTCAAACAAGGGTTAAACTAGTTTAAGTCATAGTTTAGGAAAAAAAATCTAGCTACTTTAAAAATGGAGGTTAATCAATTCAGGAGAGAGATTACATGTCATAGTTGCCTACAGTAGCAGGGAACTGAAGTCCAATGACACAAGACTGTTTGTTCATTCCAGTCCTAATCAATATAGTTTACCCAGTGGAGATCCATCTAAACCAAATTAATCTTCTCTTAAAACAGTTTTTCTTCTTTTTTACTATTGCAAACTGTAAACATTTTAAGCAAGGGTTAAACTAATTTAGACAATTAACTGTTTGTGGTTTCAGCTAACATTAAACAGATATGGTTTACTTTATAGAGTTGTGTGTCTCTTTCCATTTTCCACTTCAGTTCACCCTGTTTTAGTTTAATATTGCTTGCAAATGAGGAAGTTTGTTGACTTTGAAACATCCGGTTAAAATTATTTTCTCAGGCTTGGAGGCGGGTAGGTGGAGTAGAGGAGAATAGAAGGTTTGCAGAAACTCCTAAATTTGAACCTGGCCCTTGTTATTGCCTTCCAGTGCCTGGCAGAAGGGTAACGCATGTTGGTTGACAAAAGCTTTCACATGAAGAAATTCAGGGTTTTGTATACATCTCTGGTGATTCTTTTTAGTCCATAAATATGTAGGTCAAAATTGATTGCATGCGTTAGATCCCCACCAACCATGGCAAACCACTAAGCTTGGGTTCAGTCAATCTGTTTCCTGGTAAGTATTTCTTTATCTGAGGAACAGGGTTCTGCTGTTAGTAACTGACTTTTGAAGAATGGAAAACCTCCCTTTCTTTACCCTAAGTAGGATTTTAATCCCCTCCCCTCACTGAACACTGACTGGCAATACAAATCCTATTATATACACATACCCCTTCTCCTTCAGCTCGCAGAGAAGAAATATACTGTTAAGATAAATATTCCTGAAAGGAACTGAAGGTCTAGGCAAGTTCCAAAAATGTTGTTTTTATAAAATTCTTGTTTTGGAAACAGACCATTCAAAAAACTGAGTGAGACCCAAGGTTTGTAGGCCTTAAACTGGAGACTCTTAAAAAAATAGTATTTGGAGAGAGGAGGTAAGACTACCTTAGGAATTCTCCACTGTGCTTTGCAGCTTCCAGGACTGCTTGCAGCCTGAGGTTTGACTTGTACTTGCATAACTCTTCCCTGGATGAAAAGAGAACTTTATTGTTAGCCAACATCACCTTTAACCTTACTAAAAAAGCCAAACAAAAGTACTTACTGTCAGTTTCAGCAGCGGGGGAGGGGGGTAACCTTTTCCTGTCTATTTACTTATAACAAGCAATGTTAAGGAAGTTGCAAAACAGTACTTCTGTTCTTTATTGGTGGAATCAGTGGAGCGAGGGGGAGGAGGAGGAAATATATATATTTCATGGTATTTGGAATACTATTAGCTAGTAAGGCTGAATATGGGGGGTGGGGGAGAATCCAAAAAAAATTCTCTACTGTAGTTGCAGCTGGCCATTCTGGTTATAACCAGATTTTCATCAAACAACTGTGTTTGCCAAGTGTAATTTTAGACATTAAAGGACATCTAATCCCCATGGGTGTGGCAGCACAAACACAGGAATTCTCCTTTAGGGGTAGGCTGGCCAGCAGCGGCTCCATTACCGACCAGCGTGGGAGGCCAATTCTGTTTTGGCTAGGCCTCCACAGAAGAAACCCAGTGGCAATGACTCAGGAAAAATTCTGAATCAGCATATCTTCTGGCAAACAGAAACTCAGGTAGCTTGGCCAAGGTACCTCTCTTTCCTAATTACCTTCAAAAGTGTTTTCTCTATCACCTGTGTCTAGGGTTGCCAACTCTGACTAAAGCTATTCCAGGAGATTTTTTTTTCCCCAAACATGATGTAATGTCATTAATTATACTGTTCAACCCATTCACAATATTAATCTCCCGGATTGCTTTCAATAGTCACCGGGAGATTGATGCTGATTTTGGTAGACTCCCAGATTGGGTTGCAACCTTACCTGTATCTAAGTATTTACTATTGTAACTTATAGGGTGACTGTTTCAAGAAAAATCAACATTTTAGGACAAAAGACACCCCCCCCCCCCCCCGCTTTTTACTTGTAATATGAGTAATATCAAATGGGCAAACAGACATTATGGCTTGTTTCTGCTATTGCCACTACGAGATTTTCCCCTGAACTCTAAGTCCTATCACCAATGAGGTGTATCTGCTTTTTCATCTGACTTGTTAAGCATCTGCCCATTATGAGGTTGAAGTGTTGTAACTGTATTGGGCTGTAAGGTTACTTACACATTATGTGGGGGAAAAGGTAGGCACTGAACAACTGCATCATAATGTGTATGTACAAGGAAGTTAAACTTTTTATTGGTTGTTGTGCAAACTGAACACATTGCTTTGAATGGTGCCTTCTGGAGTTTTTGGTATGTGTTCCAATATTCATATTACAGCCAAAGTATATGACCCCAAAGAAGAGATGATACACACTATGCAGAGTGCTAAAGGAGGTGATTTGCAACAGCTGAAGCATTAGCATTTCTCAGTGGAATTTTTGTAAGTTTCTATAATGTAAGTTTCAAACTGAGCAGTTCTCCAGAAAATAAATGCCTACAGATTTAAGGAGGGCTGGTTCTAGCAGGCAATGCCAATGTTCATTGTTCTCTTTGGATTGTAGTAATCTGGCTGGATTAAAGAGATTTCTTATCATCTGGGAGACATTTTGTAATTATGGGTGGCAAAAGTGGCAGCATGGCTATTTGTTACCAGAGTATTGAAAAGTCAGAAGGTAGGTGTCACCTTAGAGACTGACAGGTTTAGTGAGGTATGAGGTTTTGTAGGCAACAACCTACTTTGTCAGATGCCATGAAAGCACTTGCATAAAGTAGTCCTTTCTTAGGATCTGATGCAATAGGTTGTTGCCTACAAGAACTCATAATTCTATGAACCATTTAGTCTATGTGGTGTCACACCCTACCTACCTTCTGCTTAACTTCAGATTCAGATGACTGAATGCCCCTGTGCCCAGACTCATGAAATTTTAAAAATCTAACTGAAACACAATGTATATTTATCTTTGGAAATGTGTCCATTTAAAAATTTCTTTATAATAAATCTATAGCTGCACATTTAGAGACAAAAATATTTCATAGAGCTATTTTATACACCCAGACAGAAGAAAGAACTTATATCTTTGCATCAGATACAGCCCTCTGTCACTGTACTTTTGAGTCAGCATAATCTATGTTGCCATCTCTCCAGAAGAGACTTTAAGTATAACTACTTGAACTAATCTGATCCTGTCCAGCAGAGGGCAGCTACAGTACATATACGCACAACAACCTATTACCATACATATTTTGACTCCTGCAATCTCCAGATGTACTGCTAGCCTTTCAGCTGCTCCCATAGTAATCCTGTACAATGTTGGCCCCTCTCACTTCTATGAGTCAGATTCTGATGACCTTACTCACTGTAGCAGGGCACTAGGGTGCCTGCTACTAGAAGTGCTGGGATAACCCTTCAGGTGCTGGTTGCTGAGGCGACCAAAGGGAGCTAATGGCTTACCCCTGCCTAGCCAGCTGAAGAAAGGGGCAGGATCTGGCCCCTATATAAAGCACAGGCAGGAGGCCAGAGGCAGTTCCCTGACCAGCAGCGAAGGATGAGGGAGTTTCCTGCCAGAAGTGAGAAAAACCTGAATGCCAGAACAGCATTGGTCACTGCGGTAGGAGAGAAAACCCGGTAGGCCTGAGCATTATTATAGGCAGCTTATGTTTACGTTATAGCCAAGAGGCTTGTGTTTAGGTTGTTGTTTGTATTTGCTATTGATTACACTGGTGGTTTGGGTGAGGCTATAAGGGGATGGAGGAGGCCTCATAGGGGACTTATGGTAGGGTGAGGACCCCAGCCCCAGTGAGGGCACAGAGTTTGGGGTGTACAGACCCCAGCTCCAGAGAGGGGTGGCTGAGAAACCCCAGAAGAGAGGGTAGCGGTGCGGTGAGCCCTGTGAGAGGGCTGCATTGCAGAGAAGAGCCCTGTGAGAGACAGGGCCACGGAGAGCCCGAGCGCCAGAGGGGTGTAGGCCAAGACAGTGTTGTACACGCATAGCCCACAAGGCCTGGGGACATGGAACACCCAAAGCAGGAGGACTGCGGCCAAGCAAAAGAAAGGTAGCCTCCCTATAAAGAACTCATATACAATCAAAGTCGTGGCGGGCGAGAATAGGAGGGTGCAAGTCTGAAGCTTGGCACTGTAAAGGAGGTGACAGGGGAGAGCACAGCGACCCTGACGTCGCTCCTGCTACACTCGCAATAAATCAATAATACTCCATATACCTTTTCACTGATTTCAGTGGGACTGCTTATGGAGTAAGGTACTATGTAATGTGAGGAAAGACTTTCTAACTCCTCTTCCACTGAATCTTTAATGGATACAAGAGGTCAAGGCATCAGTTGTATGTCTTGTCTTCCAGAAATAAAATGCAGTAGTTAATGGAACCCTGGCTCCTAATATTACTTTGAGGTGTTAGTTTGGTGAGGATAAGTGCTACCTACTCAATCGCATGCTATTTTCTATAACACCCTGAAATTGCATGGAGGTCTATCGTACCTGCATCAGCCAGTCCCTTAGCCTACACCAAAATACAACTTTGGTAACTGAAGTACAGGATTCAGGCCCTTTAAAAAGTTCTCCAGCTCCCAGTAGTAGTATAGCTCTACAGAGTCAAATAAATAACTAAAAAATAAAAAAATAGTTTGTTAGAGGCTTGGAGATGCATTCGTTGTATTAAAAAAAGTATAGCTATGATTTCTGAATTTTACTGTGATTTAAGACAGCCATGTAGCTCTGTTATCATGACTTTTATTTCTTGTTTTCTAAAATTTAACATGACGGTCCTCTGGCTCCAGTTCTGGTGCTGAAATTTTACTTGTCATGACCCAAAGGGTATGATTTTGTGTGCGCTTCGGCACTGCAGAATTATTTCCCGCCACGAGGATTTTTCTTTGCACAGTGCAATTCTCAGTTGCATAGAGAGAACCCCTGTACAAAGGAGTTCCCGCCACCCGTATGTAAATTTGTGTCCCACTATTGGCTGTTTCTAAATTATTCCCACGTGGCAGCTAGTGATTGGCTTGCTAGCAGTATAAGAGGCTAGAGCGGTTTCTGCCGAAGTTGGAGGAGGAGGAGGACTCCACAACCATCTCGTGGAGAAGGAGGACTTCACATCTCGTGAAGAACTCTAAGCACGCTGTGGAGCTTAACAAACCCAGCGTGTGCCTTAAGGATATAGGGGCCTGATCAACCTCTAGCCTCTCTCTGTCGCTGCCTGATCCCTCGACGTACCCTTCCCTGCGCACTTTCACGGAGAGTCACCTTTCAGACTCTCGTCATGGTATCCAGAGCTCTTCTCGAGGTTATTTTGTCCAGTTGATTTGACGGGCTCGTGGTTCTAGAGCTCTCAGCCGGCCTTGGACCAGAGTTCGCGGTTAGAACTCTTGTCTGCTCTTCTTCTTTCCTATCTGTAACTGCAACGCAAGCAAGTTTTCCTGCCTGCACCGCGACCACCTACGGTGTAAGTAAAATAATCTTTAATCAACCACTACGCGTCCATGCCTAATTCTAGTCCGCCGTGCCGAATTCCCCGACCCACGTGCCAGGGCTGCTGGCCACAGCCCGCCGCGCACCCCTGAAAGCCTCGGACTGCTCCCAGCCCGCACATTACTGATGCCTGAAAGACAGAATTATTGTGGTAGTGCTCCTATGCCCTTTAAATATGAAACCATAGACACTCACATATGTCTATTTGTTGAGTGCAACCATACTCTGAGTTTGTGTATAACATTTGATTTAATTCCTCAAAAGTTCTCCCAAACCACACTTCCTATATCAACACCGTCAGAAGAACAAGGCTTAAAGAGTACTAAACATGTACCAGAAAAATGGAAGGGTTTCCAGGGGTTAGTGCCATACCCTTTACTATGTATCAGCGTGTTATCAGCATTTTGCTCACTTGAGTTGCATCAAACATGGACAGAAGTAATCCAGCTCTTTAAACATTTTAAATTAAATAAGCATGCCAAAAACATTTTGTATCTTCCTCAGAAACAAACAAATAATTTTGTCTGCATACACAGAACAGTGCGGTTTTACACTATGGGCAAACTCTCAAACGGTTTT